ATTTAAAGCTTTCGTGACTGCAGGGATTCATCTTCTGGGTTCTTTCGGTAAAGTCACGTAGAAAGGAAATAATAAAATAATAAAAATCAAACATAATAAAAAACAATTCTCACGACGTTTCGGCCACATAATAAAATTATATAAAACATAATAAAATTGTATTTTATTGCGTTTTATTTTTATTATTTTATTATTTCCCTTCTACGTGACTTTACCGAAAGAACCAAGAAGACTCTTTACTCCCCTCTGTACATCCTTTCAATCAGCCTTTCTCAAAGATGCGAGTGTATCTACTTGAATCCAGAAAATGTGCGGATGTTTTTATTTTTGCAACTTGCGCATTCAACATTGTCATTCAGTTTTCCATAACGTAACCTTTCGGGAACTTCCTTGCCTTGCAGCTACACTCTGTGTATGCATCCGAGGGTCCTCTGTTATCGTCAGCCCAGAGTGCCCATAGTAATTGTACTAATCCTCACGTTGTCATCGGTCCCCAGTCGGTGCATGATGCACTATGTACTATTACTTTGTTGTTTATATAACCGGGCTCTCACCACACCCCACTCAACTATGTTACTACTCACCACACGCCCACATACCACTTACCTGTGTATCACACCACACTGCAATCAACCATATACCGCTTGTGTACCTCACATTGCACTATAACACCACTGTCACCACTTGCCACCACTTGCCACCACGTGCTACACCCCACTATTTGTTGAAGCAACACCCCTTAATTTCATCAGGCGAGAATGCACGTGTTATCCACACACACCGTTAATCTCTCCGTATTTAAACGAGGCTTATAGAAAAATGCACGTGTCACGTTTAAATAAACACATCTTGCGTGTGTGTCATCACGGCGAAGCATTTCTCCGTGGCGATTCAGCTTGGGATGGATGTGTGATTGGCATGCTTGTCATTGGCCCATGTATCATGGAGTTCTGTTGCCCCTACAGGAGTATTCTTCATTCATTTTCAAAGGGGGGGGGGGTGACTTTCGCCGATAAGACACCATCAGTGGGAGGGTTGCCACATATTTGAAACCATTGGGGTTTTGACAGCAGCACGATGATGATGGGGGTTGTTTTCACCGTTTGTGTATTGTCGGGGGCCGTACGTCAGGGGCTGCACTGAAGGCCACCAGGGGCCCGTGGGCCACGCAATGAAGAGCACTGCCCCACTACAGTGTTGTCTCGAGGTAGGGTTATCATTGCTAATGTCTTGCCGACCAAAACGTGCCGTGTCCTGTCGGTTTCCGTACGGTGCCAAATAAGTTCTTCATACGTACAGTTGGACGTCCAGAATCATGTCGCATCAGGAAGCCATCGTGCGCCGCAGCAGTTATCAAACGCACACACGTAAACATTTTTATAAAGGTTTGTAACGATTGAAAAAATGTTGTTCGCTAGTATTATCCCAATTGTGCTACTGGCATCATGTCATGAGCCAATGTGTCTATTTGGATCTCTCCCAGAGCAGTGCAACTCACGTGTTGTAGAATGGCCCACGTAAACGGATATCACAGCTCCTTCTGAGACTCCTTGTGGTGAGCGCCGGTCCTCACAGCACAAGGAAAAACTATCCCAACAGCTGTTTCAAAATCTCACAGCTGGAATTTAGCCAAATTTAAGTGCCATGACCAGACAATTTTACGGGGGTTTTTTTGTGTGCAGTCATTGGTAACTGGTCTGAGGCCATCAACTCAAATACATTTCAAAGACCAGTTTAATCACAGGGTGGCTGCCTAGATTTGCGCCCCACATCTTAGCAGTGTCAGCTCAGTGCTCTAACCTCTGAGCCACCCGACTCCCTCGTACAATGTAGTTGTTAAACACACACACTGTGGTGAAGTAAAGGATGTTTGACTTGCTTGGTTAGTCCAATAATTAGGGGATGAAGTCTTAATGTAGGCGGAACCCCCAAAACAAACAGGTATTGTACACACTTAGACTGTGTGTTCTGGTCTTTTATATACTCGTTTGAAGCTGTCAGAAAAAAAACATTTAAATTAATGGTCAGAAGTGGCCCAGTGATTTCACCGTGGTAGCACGACTCTGTTGGTTTTAAAACTTCACAGAAGTGACATCGCAAGATATTACATGACTCTTACACTTTAAATGTTTCTTTTTTTTCCCATTACCAGCGTTTTAAACTCACGTCGGATAGCCTAGACATTTGCGACCTTGTACAAGAGCTGTTTTTTTGCGTGGCTTCATTAAGGACAGTTATGAAATATGATTTTCGTTTTCCGAATGTGTCAGCACACGTATGACGAATCGGCCTGAGGAAGAGTAAAGGGTGCCTGGGATATTGCACAAGGCGTGAACATTACGTAAGTTATTCCGCAAAGGGTCCGGAAATGTGAGAACCATTGACTCCCTGGTGTCCACCTCCCTGTGGTTGGTTACAAGCCCAGTAGAGGCAAGGAGGATAATCGAGCACGCGTACAGATCGACTGGGGAGGTGTTACTTGTCATTTTCTTTTAATGCAAGCAGTTTCAGAAGTTCACGTGTTAATACATTATTATTTCGTGTGTGCAGTTTAATAATCTGTCATCACTTAAAAAGGGGGCATATCTATTGTAGGCTGTATGTGTGTGTGTGTGCAACTGTGCCTGCCACCAGATAACTTGAGCCCTCTCGCTCACATTGAGCCTTGGGTGGTCACTAGTCAACACGAACGTGTAATAGTTACTGAACATGCTAATTGAATGATGTGATTGGAGGGGGATTGGTTGACCTGAAGACCTTACCCTGCAGTAGAGTTTGGCTTGGGGATTGGAATTTGCTTTGAGGGTTTCTGCTATATTCTAACTGCACAACATGTCCACGCGATAAGCCACTTCGTTGAGCTATCATTTGTGGCCAGGTCGCTTCTGAAAAAGAGCTATATTGCTCAGTGGGCCTGACCTGGTATAAAAAAATGTTTAGTTTTTTTAAAATAAAGTGTTCTTATCCAAGTCCATTAATGTGTCTGAACAGTCTATAATTATCTATATGATTTGTGTCCCCTAATCCATGTGTTCTTCCTCATTTTTAGTCACTCAGTGTGATTCCAAGCATACTTTTCTCTATGTCCGTTTTTCATATATTTCAGCTTTTGTTCCATTTTCTTTTCAATATCCGTGTTTCTGATCCATATGTCACAGTGGGTAATATGCATTGATTGGAAAAAAACGTCTGCTTCAGGGACACTGGTACGTTGCTTTTCTTTGTTAAATAAAGCTTTCCAAAAATCACTGCATCCGGCCGACGTGCAGATCCTCATTTCATTTTTTATCTCTATTAGCCGTAAAATATTGCAGCTTTCTTTAGGTTCTACGTCATTTTCTGTTGTTCATTTGTGTTGATTGTTCACAATATCAAATACTATTATGTCTACCTATTATAGACCATTTCAATCATGAATCCAGGCTTTCATAAACCAAGGCCGTAATAACAAAATATGTATTATTAGCATGTATAAAGGACCTAAAAGAAGGGAGATTGCAAAACACATTTCGAAATTAAGATAAGAAGATATGCTTGCATAAAGGCTACCCGCAGCAACAATAGAACAACCTTCCCTAAAACCTAATTTGCAAAATAAAGACAAGCTGAAAAAGTATTAGCAAGCAATGTTAGATATGCTGAGAGCATAATCCTCGTAACAATTAAAATAAAATATTCGAACCTGACAATTGTAGTTCATAGGTTTGTTTTTGGGCGATTTTTTTTACGTTTCAAATTAATGTGTTTGGTAAAATAATACATTGTAACTTCCAAACAAAGAGCTGGCAGATATTTTAATAAGATTCCTCCATTCGGCTGCCATAACGTCTGTCATAGCACAAGTGCAGAAATACTTTGCATTTATCTAATTAGCGGAATTTTCCAATATATTCTGACACGTACTGTTCGCTCATACACGTGTATATTCATCGGTGGTTTCTTGGTTCAGTATAGGTTTCATAGTGGAATATATATATCAATAAATAGATAAGTGGGTTATTTTATTAATTAGTACATTCATTGTATATTCCTAGGTGGCTGGCAGAGTAAATATGTTTAATTGTCTAATTAAACATATTTGTTTTTCAAACTTAGCAAAACGAACATTTGTTTAAACCATGTTCAAAGTAATTTTCAACCGCAAAATTGCTTCATAAATTGCCATAATTGGTGTACAAACTTGTCTAAGGCGTAACTGCCAAGTCTTAATTGTTTGTGCATGTTATTTACATAGTAGTCCGTGTAAAACAACTCCAATGTACATTCGGCGTCGAAGCATTTATCCACAATTATAATATTAAACTCTTTGTCAGTTCACTGCTGGATGAAGGCCTTCCCATGTCAAGCAAGCAGTTGTTTGACCATACTTCATCATAATGGTCAGTGCCGGTTGGTGAAGGAGGAGTGGGTCCCAGATCTGGTTCAGATAGCACTCGCTCCTGGAGCAAGTCGTCGCCGGGAATCAAACTCACATTTTCATGTTTTTTGTAGTATCGCGTTAACCACAACAGCTCCACACGTACTCTTTGGTTCTTTCGGTAAAGTCACGTAGTTAGAAATAAAATAAAACAAATCACGACGTTTCGATCGCAACAACAAGCGGTCGGCATCAGGCACGGTTTAATAATTAACAATTATTTGTATGTATGTTGAACTTCTTTCACACGTAGCCAGCCGTGCTAATCGGAGGTGCGGAAAAGGTTATTAACTTTAATTTTAAAACAACTCATTACAATAACATAAACATTCATTACACTTTACCAATGCTAATAATTGTGGATAAGACTTAAAAAAAAACACTTAAAAGTAGCTTACCGGGGCTGTTAAGTAATCGTGAGCTTTTGACCTCTGCTTTAGATTAGCATTGCTCTAAAAATGCTTCGTCAGCCTACGTTGGGGCTCAAACCTCCCCCAACGTCGGAACCGCCGGTCAGTCCCCCAGCTTTCACCGGGCTATTCACACCGCAGGGACTCTCTTCCCCCTTCCCGTGCCCCAGCAGACTGCAGCTTGGGACACCGCGTCGCAGATTCCCTGAAGGTCATCGAGGACGCGGTGCGGACGTACGGGCTGGCCCAGCTGTGCGTAGCCTTCAACGGCGGAAAGGACTGCACGGCCTTGCTGCACCTGGTCCACACTGTGATGCGCAGGTGCGCTGACCCCTGCGCTCGCTCGACCCCCCTCGCCCCGCTCGCCCCCTCGCCCCGCTCGCCCCCACTGGGCTTCCTTACACCCTGCTCCTCGGGGAGGTTCGATCTCGACCCCGACGCCTGCTGTATATTCGGGGTTTTCATGTCCCTCTCTCCCCCGTGCTCGTGTCGACTTTTAGATTATTTTGCTGCTATAAATGTCCACGCGATAAGCCACTTCGTTGAGCTGTTATTTGTGGCTAGACCGTTTCTGATAGATAAGTTTAAAGCTCAGTGGGCTTTACCTGGTAAGAAAAACAGTTTAGTTTTATTTTTTATTTTCTCTGTGATTTGTTTACCTTTCCTATACTTTGCGCTCCGATCATGTTTTTGTTTTATTTGTTGTTGTAACATTCTGACCCGCCCCTACTGGACATGTGTGGAAAAGAGTTTCATAGCTCATCGGATTCCTCCAGTAGTAATAGATATTGTGATTCTGGCTTCGTCACCTACCACCAGCCCCCACAGCCAATCGAATGGTGCATCCCACAGCCCTGCACACCACCGGCTGTCGAGTTTATCTATCTCGTGTCATCATCGTCATCATTTATTATTTATGCCGCACTTCCCATGTAGTGCATCTCGAGGCGCCAGAGCAAAGAGGCGTTTGAGATAATTACTCGTGAAGGGAGTGATTGCGGACCAACTATTAATGTTCAAAAATCAATATCGACAAAAAATACAACAGGCGAGAATAGAAAAATAAAATTAAACGGCTAAACTGTTGCCGTGGCGATGCTATTTTTTGTTCGTCCACTTTAATTGAGTTATTGTACGTTCTCGGAAAATAACGACTTTAGTTTAGTATTAAATTCATGAATTGTGGGTGCTTTCATGATATTTCTGGGTAAGCTGTTCCACAACTTTGGTTCCAATTGAAGTAATCCTTAATTTCGTCCAATGTTCTTGTTAAAAAAAAAAGCTGTCATTACCCTCATAAGTGAGTGTTGATGCCCGTGACAGATGCTTTCCATCTTTTGTGATCTTTAGCATCTCTCATGGAGAGCCCCATCCCGCTGCTCACATTGTCCCCACTGACCAATCTGTCTCCTACCTCTTCTCCTGCTCCCTTTTTGCTTGCAGAATAATCTCTCATATCTCCATTTGTGACCCTCCTATAATGTCTTCTATATGCCACCTTCATTTGCCTCAACCATTTCAGCAAGCCCTGCTTTGTTGCCATTTTCTTTCAGCACATGTCCATTCAAGTGATGGTTCATGAGGCTGCTAATACTTTATCAATGTCACAATCATTGACACACGCTCAAGGCGGTTGTAAAATATTCCCTTTTGTCTCATTTCTATGACCAGCGCAGAAATTAGTGTTGTGTCACCGCATGGCAGCGCGCCGAGGTAGTACAGTTCCAGTTTAACACCAAAAGCAAGCCACAGAGCTCAAACCAAGCCGCTTGTTTTCAGCCGACGACGTTGGGTTAATAAGGAAGCAGTAATGCCTTGTGCCATGACGTCGCTAAATGGATAAACGTCCTGGTTTTGTCATCACATAAAATACGCGGGTCAATTATATAAAATAAAGGTTACAACTTGAACAAAGTCAGCCTGGCGAAAAACACCGTAACCGATGGTAATGTTTAACCACTTTGAAAACGATTTATTTTCAAGGTTTTTTTCCAATAAACAGTCCCCGTTCGCAAATAGCGTGGTTGGAGAAAGGGGCGACGGTTGAGTCCGGACCATGATGAGGCTCCATTGGCTGAGCTCAAGGAGCCTCATGGCTCATTGAGCGTGGGGGCATGGCCCCTTAATCCAGGTTCTTTGCTGGGCCAATCCTGAGCCAGCAGAGACAGGTTCCCATCTCTTTCTACACCACTGCCGACAGTCTCGGTAAATGCATTTGAAAATTTCAACTCGATTCTCTGTCACTGTTCATCCATAGATTTACTTCTATTCAGTTTTCATATTCTTGGTTCTTTCGGTAAAGCCACGTAGAAGGGAAATAATAAAATAATATAAATATAAATATAAAACATTGTTTTTTATTGTTTTATATTTATATTATTTTATTATTTCCCTTCTACGTGACTTTACTGAAAGAACCAAGAATATGAATCCCTGCAGTCACGAAAGCTTTAAATAAAAATTCTCTTCAGTTGTTTTCCCACTAATTGCCACAGAGTTCGGGTCAATCACTTTAATGTGTAGCAAGTCAAACCAATCGTGGTATTTGTGAGCATCTGTTTTGAAGCGTGTCCATGATTGTTTTTTCCAAAATATTTGAATGGTATAAACGTTGTTTGTGCTATACACAAAAAGGCCTTTATGTAAACGAGGGCTCGGATGTTGTACTTTTTCTTTTGCCAAAAAAAACTGTTTTCTTGGAATGTGTGATGATTGTTATCAGAAATTATAAATCGTGTGCGGGTAAATGCCTTCTTTGTGAGAACCTTAACGTGCCTTCCGACGGATATTTTTGAGCACGGCACTGCCCCAAGTACAAGCGCAATGTAGCTTGCTTTGGGGTCTAGAAAGTTTAATCAAACGAAACAGATGTAGCAACACCATAATGTTCACTTATGCTTCGCGGTGCAGTCTATATTTTTTTGCAAAAGATGTTTTGTGATTTGCACTCCCAAGATAGGCCAGGCCAACGTTTTTCTTTGCCTCACTGTTCACTCTCAAATAGGTAGTTTGCAAAACAGTCTGGGCAGATCGAAATTAACATTGTGATGTTTTGCACAAAGGATTCCCTGTCCACAGGATGTATACCTTGCAAGATTGGCTGTTACTCTGTAAGAGAATAAAAGTTCACCCCTTGTTGCCGGTGTGTTCACGCAGGCTATGCTTGGACACGGGGGAGAAACTGCAGGCTCTCTACATCCGTGGAGCGGCTCCCTTCCCAGAGATAGAGAGCTTCGTGCAGGAATCGGGCCAGCGGTGAGTTCGCTCGTGCTCACTGAGCGCCACTTACGATGCACACTCAAATATGTGCGAATTTTCTTTGAACCCAATAGGTCGCACACTTCCCGCAGTAATTTAGATGAAAAATTATTCCCTTGGTCGGTCAATAGACGCTCAGGAGCACCCTTGTCCAAGACATAGCCATGAAGAAAAGCGTCAGTGATGGCAGCCGCCGACTGGTTGGGGAGTAGCCAGGCCATAGGCCAGCGCGAGAAATACTCTACCCTACCAGCAAGTATTTATTACCCTGAGGGGTGGCGGGAAAGGGGCCAAGGATGTCCAGAGTGACAAGTTCATTAATGCGGGATACCTGAATCGATTGTAAGGGCGGACAGGAGGGTTTTACCGGTGGTTTCCGTGGCGCACACTGCACGCAACCCTGCAGCAATTCAGCCACGTCCTTTGCCGTGCCCGGCCAGGAGAAGTCAAGCTGGAGCGTGGCAAGGGTTTTGTGTATCCCCAAGTGCAAAAGCCGTTCATGGACGGCCCATACAACCTTACCCCGCAAGGCGGTGGGCACAACAACTTTGTGACGACGCGTACTGCCATCCCAGCACATCAAGAGGGCCATCCTTCGGGATGACAGATGCGAAGCACCCACGGCCCTTACCCCCATCTGAGCGTGCAACGCGGTGGCGCAACTTGAGAAGGGAAGCACCCTCCATCTGAAGGCGCCCCCACTCAGCGAGTTCAAGGCCAAGGACAGCATCCCATGCCACCGAACCGTCAGCCACCTCGGAGGAAGCCACTGCGGCTGACGCTGCGAGGGGCGGGGGCGAGCCGTCGACCGGCCGTTTATAGCGCCCTGAGCCAAAAAGCACGCACACTTGTCGCTCGGTGGCAACCACGACAAGGCATCGGCGTTCGAGTGTTGGGTACCCTTCTGGTAAGACACAGTGAACGAGTAGTCCTGGAGGACATCGAGCGAACGAGGAAGTTGGCCGGATAGCTGGTCAACCCGCAACGCATACTGCAGCGCAACGTAAAGTGTCTGCCATATAAATACGGGCGGTACTGCTGAATAAAAAAAATGATCGCCAGGAGCTCTCGGCACGTGATGCAGTAGCGTTGCTCAGCCGGAGACAGCACCCTGCTGACATACGCGACAACGCACTCCACCCCGTCGACGACCTGGGACAGAACCGCGCCAATGCCGGTGTTGCTCTCGTCCGTGTCAAGGCTGAACGGCGCGGCAACGTCGGGGTAGCGGAGGGGAGGGGCATTAACCAGGGCCTCACGAAGCACGACAAATGCGGCATCCTCCTCCTCCCCCCAATGAAATGTCTGGCCCTTGGCCGTCAGCGCGTGGAGGGCCTTTGCGATGGAAGCAAACCCAGCCACAAAGTGGCGATAATAAGATGCGAACCCAATGAAGCTTCGCACCTCTCCCACCGACGTGGGGGTCGGCCAAGTCCGGACGCACGCCGTTTTTTCCAGGTCCGTAGCAATCCCTGATTTGCTGACAACGTGCCCGAGATGACATTATTTGGGGCTTGAATTTGAGATTGGCCGCCCGCATTTTGACAAATACAGCCCGCGGATAAAGACAATGACATCGTCCAGATATATCAAACACAAGTCCCACCGAATTTCAGCGGGGACTAGTTCCATCAACCGTTGGAACGTCGCTGGCGCGGAGTAGAGACCCATCGGGAGTCGATTACATTCGAAAAGGCCCTGTGGCGTACGGAAGGCCGTTTTGGGCCTGGAGGCCTCGTCCAAAGGCAACTGCCAAAATCCGGACAGAAGGTCCAGCATGGAAAAGTAATGGGCGCCCACTAGGGCGTCCAGAGATTCGTCCATCCGAGGAAGGGGGTAAGCGTCCGCCATCGAAATTTTATTGAGTTTACGAAAATCTACGCAAAAACGCAGGCTGCCATCATGTTCTTTAACGAAGACGATCGGGGCCCCCCCACGGACTGCTAGACGGAGAAATGATGTCCGCAGCCAGCACGTCATTAACTGCTCCTCCGCGGGGCTCAACCGGTAGGGGTTCTGCCGGATGGGAGCGGCGTCGCCCGTGTCAATATGATGGCTTAACAACATAGTGCGGCCAATGTCGAATTTACTCCTGATAAAAACATCAGCCAATTGCCGCGCAGAGCACCCTCAATTTATCTCTCTGGGACTCGGACAGGTTCCCAGCTTCCGAACAAAGGAAATTTATCCACCGGTCATCAGGATCCGTGCGCGGTGGCGGGTGAGGCTCGGCCCCAACATGTCCCACAACAGAATCACCCCGGAGTGCGGATGTCGCGTGAGCGAACACGGTACCCAGTGGGACGACGGAAGTCCGCAACCCGGCATTCAGCACTTGAATAAAGGGTTCCCTGTCATTGGACACTAGGGTTTGCGCTCCAACCAGCTCCAACCCCCGTACAGCCGTATTTGAAGGTCCCAAGAGGATCCCCCCCCCGCAGTCGCCGCCGGATCGAGTGGCTTGCGCAAGCGAAGGGGAACTAGCATTTGCGCCCCAGGGGGAATGCGTACCGTCCGGGATGTCAGCGCTTGCACGGTGGCGTAGGCCAGGCACAACCGAGTGGGGGAGGGCAAGAATGCCATGTGACGGCCAGATTGCAATTTGATGCATCCTTGGTCGATACAAATTTTACCCAAGAAATCGGTCCGCAGCAAGCATGGAACAGCAAGGGACGAAGAAACAGGAATTGCGCCCGTCAATTTAACATCGCCAATGCAAATTTGAGCTGTAATTTATCCAATGATGCCCAATGATCCTCCGTTAGCGGCGAAACGCGGCACTTCAACGGGGCATAGGGAACGGCATTTGTCGGGTAAAATGTTGTAAATGAGTTCAGAAATGATGGCCTGCGGGTCCTCCGGTTTTTCTCTGCACGTTTAGAATCATCATCGCGCGTTGAGAGTATTTGGCTCATTTTTATCAGGCAAGAGCCACTGAGCTGTATAGTTTTTTTTCAGAAGGGACCTAAGCCACAAATGATAGCTCAACGAAGTGGCTCGTCGTCATGTGGAAATGTAAATAAGTGTATAGTTTAGTTTAACCGATTTAATTACTCCCAGCTTCACATTGGACGTACTATTGTCCAATCCCGCTTTTCATGTGTTTCTCATCACAGCTACGGGCTCCGCATGCACACGGTGGAGGGCGCGGTGCGAGATGCCCTGGCGGAACTAAAGCTCCGGGAGCCGGGCCTACGCGCCGTGCTCATGGGGACGAGGCGCACCGACCCGTACTCGCACACCCTCACCCCCGAGTGCCGCACTGACCCGGGCTGGCCCGAGTTTATGCGAATCAACCCTATGCTGGTAAGGGGTCTCGAAAGATCGGCCTCCCACTCTGCCATCACCTCTCCCCCCCCCCCCCCCCCCCCCCCACAAATTAACGGTGCTGAATGGCAACAAAGCTTGGAACGTGTGTCACCTCGTGCCTCTCTTTCGTTGTACTGCCCTACCAAGCCAACCCGCGGTGTGGCTTACGAGGGCACCAGGTTTTATTAGTGGTACCAAAGCCGTGCCGCTAATGTCACTCGCATGCGGTGAGTGTGTGACAAAAGCTATTAATCCCGCCGCTAACCCTGCTTGGCCCCGAGCCAGATTCAGATGTCTGGTGAAGCCAGAGGAGCACAGTTTGGTTCTCCCTCAACTCAGAAAATAGCCAATGAAAAAGCACCCATACCAAGAGGGTCCTAAAATTTTTTTTACCCAAAACATCTGTGCTGTCAACTGCCTTCCTCTGTCCAAGTTCAGGTTCAAGGCCTTCCCGCGTTCCCTCTGTCTATGGCTGACTGCCGTTCTCGTCAAAATAAATATTCCCACGGGTTCTGCTGGTCGTCTTGAGATACGGTTGCATTAATACGCTGTCTTGAGTGCGCATCGTTTTGTATTGCAATGTACGACCTTTTTTTAATTTAAGAAGAGCGCACTGTAGGTGGCGCTGGGCTTACTGCATACTGCACTCAGCCTCGCGGCCCGAGGTTTATATTCAGCATAGAGCGAACATCATTGGGCGAGTGATATCTTATCTGGTCTTGGGCCACCCGCAAGACCGGTATGGTGAAGTATAGTCAAACAACGCCGCATGGGGAGGCCTTCGTCAATTAGTGGATGGACAGAGGGCTGTGAATTATAATATGTTTTTTTACTATTATGCAATAGTATATAGGAGTACAGGTTGTTTCCATGAATGTGCACATTCAGGTAAATGTTTAAGGGAAGGTTTGAGCTCGCAATCATTCGTTCTCTTTTCTGAACATGTGGAATTTCCCGATACATCACCTCTTTAATATTTACAGTGCATATTTTTCATTAGAAGGCATTTTATTGCTCGTGTGACGAGTGACAAATATTTTAACCCTAGATAAGAATAATAATAAACATATATTCCCAAATCGATCCTTGCGCTTTGCAACAAAATAATGACGATAATTTATTTAATATTTTAATGAAACAAAAGGGCGTTAACATTCGAAGCGCATGTAGCGTTTATGGCAAAATTATCAACGCACTCTTTTTACTTGACCTCCTGTATACGTGTCCCTGTATTCTTTGACCCCCATTTAATTTCTTATTGTAATTCCCATCGCAATTGCATGGCGTGTAACTGGAGGCCCCTAGAGACTGCTGAGGGGAGAAACGTGTGTGTCTGATATCCTTGGGTGGTGAGTGGGTTTAGAGAGCACGGCTGTTAAAATGGCTCCGTTTCAACGAGACGTTCCCAGCAAGCACAGCGCAACCTTAATACCGCGCATAAGAAGAATGCTGTGTGCAGGTGCATTCGTAGCTGTCATCACTTTCTCCGGCTGCAAATTACATGCCTTTTGGTTCGCTCATTAAAAATACTAATCGTGCTACAAGCCACACTCATCCCCGGCATGTGATAATGTACACCGTTACAGCTAGATTGGAACGCGCACGAGCGTGGGAGGGGAGAGACGGCGACGCGAAATGAAATCCGCTTTTACTCCGCCGGAGTGAAAATTGCGGTGCCCGTGTCGCTGTTGTGATTGCGAGCGGCCTTAAAAAGTGTGTCCCCTGTTCAAAACCCGTTTCAGGAGTGGAGTTACCACGACGTCTGGCGCTTCCTGCGTTCGTCGAATCTCCCTTACTGCGTCCTGTACGACAACGGGTACGAGCACGCGACAGGAACTCCACGTGTCCGTTTCAACACTCGAGATCCACGAAACACAAACAAATGTTTTCACGCGAGCGTGACTAATCTTTGTTTTACATTCCGGTTTATAAAATGTTTACACTGTCCTCTAGCAAAAAAAAGAATAATATTCCTGCTTGCCTGTCTTGTCTCCAATTACCTTGCCGGGTTTTTTTTTTCTTTCCGTGATGAAGCTACACGTCCCTGGGCAGCGCCGCCGACACGTGGAAGAACGACGCGCTGCGTTACACGGACGCGCGCGGAGAGGAGCGCTACCGCCCCGCCTACTCGCTCGAGGACTCCGAGGAGGAGCGCGCATCACGCAGCTGACACGACCTGTGACATGCAGGGGAGTGCCCAGCTTTGCTCCGTCCGTCCGTCCAGGGGCAGGGACCATTGTTTGCCAATCATGGTGCCACGGGGTGGGGGGGGGGGGTGTCTTGATTTGAACTTGGTTAGTCGAAGCCCCCGAAGGTGTGGCCTTGAAACGTCTTGCTCGTGCCACTGCGGGCAGAAGGGCCTCTGCGGGTTGGCTTGCTCTGTTCATCCAGCGGTCAAGAATGCCGAGTTTTGCCAACTGTCGATGCGGCGTCATTTGTGGACTTGGGACTCGCGCCACCGTTCGGAAGCACGTAAATGATGAGAGAGAGCTCTTCGAGAGCGCCTTTAAGAGGGTATTTTGGCCTACAGTTTGTACGCAGAGAACTTACACTTTACCCCACCACACATGATCTGACGATTAACAGCGGTGTACACAATTATACTGCCCCCCCCCCCCCCCCCCCCCATAATTAGAGGTCTTATAGCTTATAGTGTCAGGGTGCAGAGGGAGGTGGGTGGTTTGTGGCCAGGTGGTTCAGGTGTCAAAGGCTTGAGAACGACACTTGTCAGAATACTAGTGTGAGTGTGTGTGGTCACCACCTGTGATTAAACTGGTTTCTTAAGGTTAGTTGGCTGAGTTGATGGTCTCTGTCTCGTTACTAATGACTGCACTAAATTTTGGGTCAACTCTGAACTGTCGACTCTGGGCTACAGATGTAACCATTGAGAACTAATCATAGTGGAGAGAGGTTCATTATTCAATGCTAATAATCGAAACTGTTTTTGTGAAGTGGTCTGTCAAGAAAACATGAAGGCTATATGATAATGAGCAGCTAATTTTTTTATGAGACTGCACCCAAGGAGAAATGAGGAAATGTGGACTTGAAATTTGTGTTTTAATCGCAACATAAAATAGATAAATGCTGATGGTGAACATCCTGCTTTTCTGAGGTCTAAAATTAAAGACTTGGATCTTGGTAACCTGGCTCAGACAATGCGACTGAATGAGTTTTTAACAAGTGAATACTCCTTGATGTGAAATACTTTTTTTTATTTAACTTGAATCCACGTTTAATTAGAGTTTGTTTTTTAAATGTACTTGTGTCCAGATATTTAGTATGCAATGATAAAGGTGTTTCAGAAGGAAAGGGCAGAGAGGTTCTATCTCCACTGCTAGAGGTCCGATCTCCACTGCAAGAGGTCCGATCTCCACTGCTAGAGGTTCCGATCTCCACTGCTAGACACTTAACACTCAATCATCTGCGTATTCTTAATTTTGTTTTGTGCTGTATTTGTTCTAGCTGCGGGGGTGCTCCCTTGAAAATAGAGACGCTTGGTCTCAATGGGGATCTCGCCTGGCTTGTAAATAAACGACTACTACCAATAGATCGTACGAGAGCTCTTGAGACAGCAGGCTGCGGAATTCAATGAGAGATCGGGGGGGGGGGGGGGGAATAAACGCACGGTGCCGGTTATGTTATGGTGTGGGTAACTCAATCAATGGGAAGGGACGCTCTCGATCCGTTCATTCTCGTTAAGCATGGCGATGCAGATGTGAACCCTAACCGCCCGGGTGAGCAAGTGGGACACTGCCCCGCTCTGCTCGGGGTAACTCAGTCCTCTTGAAACCAGAGTTTTGTCACCACGGCTGGGCATCCGACATGACCAAGTTGAACTTTGCTGTGTTAGCACACTGGTCCAAGAAGACCTCCTGGAGAAGCATTGTCACCACTAAGGAAATCCAGTTTATCTCACTCAGTTATGCAGTAGATTTTGCAAATATTGCAGTGCAACGATTGTAATTTAAGCTTGACGAATGTGTAATAAATTGATCATGTTTATAAATATTTATGTCTTGCATTATGTGTGCATGAGGAGGGCATGGGTAAAAATGCTGTACGCATGCAGATTGCAATTGAAACAACTGTCCAGCAGATGTCAATGAACCACAAACAGGAGTTAAAAAGTATTTACCTGAATGTAAACTAATACTGCATTGTTCCCACATTGCTAACCATTTAGTATAACTAACTAAAACTATTCAGTTTCATATCTCACAAAATGCATTATAATCTTAGCCATCTAGTATAATTATGACGTGTTTCATCAGAAGTATCAACACCTTTATATTACCAAATGTAACAATTCATTGTAAGCTACAATTCTTGTGAATACATTTAACCGTTTAAGTATAACTGGATACCACTCCCCACTCCCCTTTGGGGGGGGGGGGGTGCGTATTGATGACATCACACCACCCATTCAAGGCCCAAGCACTGGAGGACATTTTCACAATTCTGACCAATGCCTGATTATGCTGGTTGCAGCTATCGGTGAAAAGTCGGACCAAATTGTTCAATGTTGTGAGATTTCTGTCCAACAACACCGGTGATGCCGAAGAAGCAATAAATATGTCACGTCTCTTCACGTAACAACTCCATTGTCTGTGTCGGGTGGAGGAGGGTTTATGACACATTTACTTACACGATCTGACTGAAAAATCCATTGCGTAGCACCACTTGACTGATAAGCCTTTGTAGAATGCAATCTATTTGCCTTCGAGTAAATAGTTGATGTTGCCATTCTCAAGTCCCACTTCCCTCTAAGAAATACCACGTTCATATCGCTCATTAATACAGATCTTGTTTGAGCTGGATCGTCAAATATTTGAGATCTCCATAAACATTCACACGCGCAAGTATTGTTGGTTATTCCTGCATAACTGACTGCGAAATGAAGTAGCAAACTTTCATTTGTGCATATCCTGAAACGATACATTCCTACCGACTGAATGCTCCGATGTAAGAGAAACATCTCGACATGGGCTTGAGATCGGGTCAGATTTGCAGGAAGGGCAGGGCTGCAGGTCACGACCTCTTGCTTCCTGGCTGGGCCAAAGATATTTTAGAAAATTTGTTTATTCAAGAAACCCTTCCCATGTCTTAAGGTCTTTTTCAGGAGTGTCTTGCAAGAGATGTGTATCGTGTGGGAAGGGTAGTGAATTATCACTGCGTAGGCTTTTTTGCGGTTGTACCACATGCTGGACACAACACGTGGTACAACCCAAAAGCTCCCAGCCACAAGGAGTGAAGGGTTGGACATCATTACATTTTTACTATTTTTACTTTCCCAGGTAAGGCCCACTGAGCTACGTAGCTCTCTTTCAGAAGCGACCTGGCCCACAAATGATAGCTCAACGAAGTGGCTTATCACGTGGTAATTTATAACAGCCAAATATGCTCCAAACGCACGTTTCTAAATATGGCGGTAAAAACCGGAGGACCTGGAGAAAAATCCACGTGACAATGGAGGGAGAGCGAGAACACGCAAACTCGAAATATACAATAGGCATTAGGGTCGGGATCGAACCTACGACCTCCTGTATACCAAGCGAGGTAGTTAACATCTCCTAGCCACCGTGATGATGATGAGAGAGAGAGAGAGACACGCAAGCTCCAAATATACAATAGGCATTAGGGTCAGAATCGAACCCACGACCTCCTGTATACCAGGCGAGAGAGTTAACATCTCCTAGCCACCGTGGCACCCAACCAGACAACACGGCGGAGAGGATAGAGTTCCGGGGAAGGAATCTATTCACACAAAGTAAGAACTCAAAAACTCCTCACTGTTAACGACTGTTAGACCGACTTGCTGTACAGCCTTCAACAAATACCACTTTGATGCTCCTACAGCGGCGCGGCATATGATTGACGTTGCACGATGCACCCCACACACTGCCTCCTGTGTGGGTGGATCGTGCGCCAACAACGCAGCGTTGCAACCTCGCCCAACCTCCGGCATCTCCCCCCCTAAAACATTTCGCGTGGAATTTTCCCAACGTGAACGATCAGCGGGTGCCCCTCTATTCTAAAAACAAACCACGTGGTCGCTTGCAGCTGTAGCAGCAGCGGTCGCTTGCAGCTGTAGCAGCAGCGGTCGCTTGCAGCTGTAGCAGCAGCGGCGGCGGCGGCGTGCGCAAGAACTGCGTCGTATTTGGGTGCAACGCAAATCTGGCTGTCGCCTGATGAAGCTGGTTGTCATTTCTGGCGAAACGTCGTACGCAGATTGTAAACGTTGTGGCTTGGCTCACCAACACACAACCGGCGTGCTGTGCTAGTGACGAATTGGTCACGTTCTGTTTACGTGACAACCATAACTAGTTGGCTGTGTCGGGTGGTGGCGGGTTTTAACGACACAACATTTCTCTATTTACGTGATCTAACCCAAACAACTTCTATTATGGGTGCAACACGTTGACTGAAAACAACGACGAACCGCATCGACTGCGTGACGGCGGAGACAAACATCTCCTCTGACACGCAACGATTTCAAAGTATCTTCTTGGTTCTTTCGGTAAAGTCACGTAGAAGGGAAATTATAAAATAATAAAAATAAAACATCAAATAATTCTCACGACGTTTCGGCCACAACGCAAGCAGCCGTCCTCAGGTGAAGAACAGGTCTTTCGGAAAGATAAATATTTTATTTTTTCCCTTCTACGTGACTTTACCGAAAGAACCAAGAAGACGAATCCCTGCAGTCACGAAAGAAGCTTTAAATCGAAAGATTTCAAAGTAAACAAAGCGAACGGCTCCCCCACCCTCCCCCTCCTCTCCCCAGCTATGACGGGCAGCAGCAGCAGCAACAAACAACAACTAAAATCCTATAAATCACACCCGAAAAGCCACCGCTGAAAAGCTCCGTTTTGTGCGAGCGAACTGGGCTGGGCAGTGCGTGAAGGAGTCGGGGTGGGGTGGGTGGGTGGTGGGTGGGGTGGGTGGGTGGTGGGGGGTGGCCGCACCGGGGCCCGTGTGAAAGTGGCGTGGGCCTTTGCCGGGGAGACGCTTCCCACGCCGGGAGCCTCATCGGCGTCGGCGGCGACGATGAGGCAGGCGGGGGTGGTGGTGGTGGCCACCCCGAGCCGGGCCGGGCCCCTTGGGGTCTCAACTGAAATCGTCTCGACCGCTGTCACCGATCGCTCCTCCCACTGCTTCTTCACTTCTCGTATATTTATTTATTTGCCCTTAAAACCTCGGGGATTTAAGGGAGAAAATTTTTTTTCTCTTCGCCTGCAATATTTTTTTCTGCCCCCCCCCCCACTACTACCTCTCCTCTTTACGATAATTTACGCCGACGGACGAAGGGGTGGTGGTGGTGAGGGTGGTGGTGGTGGTGGCGGTGGTGGAGTTGGTAGTGGTGGAGGTGGTGGTGGTGGTGGGGGTGGTGGTGGTGTTGGCGGTGGTGGTGGCTTTATTCCAGCCATGCAGGTTTGTCTGCGTTCGGTAAATCCGTGCAAAAATATTTGCGCACTCGCCACACATGACGATCCGGCGCGGCTGTCGCTGCGGCTTCGCCAATTTTCTTGGTCGCACGCCACCGTGGTGCAGTCTGCCAGCGACTTGGGTGGTGGGTGGTGATGGGGAGATGTCCACGGAGACGAGGCATCACCACTGCGTCCTGGTGTCGAGACGCGGTGGACGGGCGTTGAGTGTTTCGCGACCTCCGCTTGTGATTCTCCCCCGTGCCAGATCACAAGGTGACATGCTCAGATTTTTGTTCCTACTCTTTCTTTCTTCCTTTCTTCTTCTTCTCTTCCTCCTTGATGACGAGAGCCTTCGAGGGGCTCGACTCGCATAACCGCCTTAGAATGATGATCTCGTGAGGCTGAGCGAGTGGCTTAGCGCGTCCCTGTCACCGCCCGAGCGAACCGTGGCAAATGGGACTCCAGCGACTTAAGTGCGTAGCGAAATGTGTCAGGGCTGAGCGCAGGGTGGCCCAGATGTCTTGTGACCCCCGCAATTAAATTGACCTAGAAAATTGTTCTTTTTTTTTTCTTTTGCATATTCATTTTTGTTTTAAAATAAACCTTCCTCAAAAAAAATATATTACGTTTTAGAAAATGAAATGGGGGTTCACAAGACATCTGGACCACCCTGTACATTGATCACTGTTGTGCATATATGTAAATGTTCTTCTCCGGGTGGATACCATCGTCGTCATTTATTGAAAACATCGGGGTTTGTTTGTTTCACGTGGGAACCCAATCGTTCGAGTGTGAGACCCTGAAGCTTTCCTGACATCGCCATAGCCACACTGAGGCACACACCCCCCCACCCACCCCCCACCCCTTCGATTTTACGATCAAAATGATCGGATGTAAATTAGATTTTAAATTGTGTTCGTTATGTTACAACACGCCGTGGCCCAAAAATAGAATGTGTGCCAGACAGAGGTGTCAGGTGTAATTCGCATGGACCCTTAGGTAATGTTGGGCGAAAGCGATATTTTCACTATCGATAGGGCGGGCACCACCGCTACTCTCCCCCAGAATGCCCAAAACCACTACGGAATAACCTCTCTGCTCAGGGTTTTTGGGTCATTACGAGATCGTGCGTTGGTCTTCGGCATTACAGCGACGGGCTGCGGGTTAGAATGTAGGTTCGCCTTTCACGTGAGAGGTAGACTCTCAAGGACAGCACATTACATTGACGGGGGTGGTGGTGGGAGGGGGAGGGATGTTCCCACAGTATTGCCACTCGTTGACGAGAAGCAGGAGAACAGGTCCAGCCGGCACGGCAGGGCAGGGCAAGTGGGCTGGGAGGACGAGAGAGAGAGAGAGAGACGTCGGCGCCGATGACCTTGCACTGCGAGGTTCGGGACGAGTTGACTCACGCGCAATCTCACCACGATCCCCGCCATGCGCAGGGCACACAAGGGGCTCACTCTGTCGTCTAACCCGTGCCAGCAAGAGGGGCTTCCCCACGCACTTTGACCACGCATGGTCTGCGCTGGTCGGTCAAGGCGGTGAGCGGGGGCGGATGCGTGCAGCGTGTTACAGTACAGT